TAACAATAGTCTAGAGTGTGTATAGGGATTGGACAGGTAAGGGAGGGTACCCATCCGTCCCATATCTTGCCTGGTATAAATGGCGGTAAGCACTGTGATAGCTATTGGATGGAGCCACTATTCATTGCTATCCATAGCACCCAACACAATGCTGTTCCCCATGGATGGGGGCCATCAGGAATGTCCTCCAAAACGTTGCTGGATTTGCCCATATCAGTGCTGGAGAAGCACTACATGAAGCCAGCTTGGAGCACCGTGATGAAATATTCTGGATTCTTTCATGTCTGAAATATTGCACGGAAATTAAAGAACTCGAACGTTTTTTTCTTTTATATAGGTGATTTGATATAAATATAAATATATATGCAAACAAAATATGTGCACTTAATTGTTAGTGTGTGTTTGTGATGAAACTGTGGTGCAGGGGTCATATTTATACACGTTTTATGGAAAGTGTTGCCCAGGTTGTAAAAAACGTGTTTTCTTGACAGTAAAGGTAGAGGGACGTGCACTAAATGATGTAACGTTTCTATGGTTACCAACCAGTGTAACAGAATCACCTAGTGATGACCTACCAGTGATGACGCTTAATCTGGTGACTGATTACTCCCATAGTATCAGGCGTCTGAGATGTACGTAGTATCCCAAATGTAACTCCTAGTCCCGACTTTTATTTGGAAAGAACTAGTTGTCATTGGTACCTCTGACCTCTTGTTTAGACTGATCCATTAATCCTTGCCCCATTGTGTTCTGACCAATCAAAGCTGTGATTCATGTCCAACATAGGAGCACGAAAGTCCGACATGCGTGCACACGCGTATGATGCTCGGGGCTGGAACAGGTAGTGTGGCACTGGAGAAGAACACCTGTAAAGTGCCCATGTGCCCGGGGCTTACTGGATTGGTCTGTTGACACGTCTAACATATTAAGCTTCAGAATCTCATAGTTTTGGATTGTGGAGGGTGGAAGTTCAGATTCACAAGCTAAATTTTTACCGTTCAACTGAAAAATGATTAAAATGTGCCGAGTTGATTTGCACAATCGTAAAGAGGTGAAGATTAATGAAATCTATGCATTAATTATAATTATTTAATATATAATCATGTGATGAAATATGGATATATTGCTATGGTAATAGTCTGGTGAAATAGTTTTAGCCACGTGGGAGAATATGTGTAACGGAACTCTATCATCCATGCAGTAATTAGCCTCTCAGGTATAGTACGTGTCATGGACGGTTGGTATATTGTAGAGACAGGTAGCTGACTATAACAGTGGTAAATACGTTCGTTTTTTATTTCCTATTTATCATCCTTGATATAGTCACAAGTTAATCTTAGTTTAGTACCTACTGTACGCGTATATGTCCATTGATAAACAAATGTTGACCTCTTATATTGGCCAGTAGCGACAGCCGTTTGTTGGCTTGTGGATTGTGATGTTGCATTTTCCTGAGGACTATTGGAATTGTCTAGAATGTGTATGAGAACCTGTATCATTCTGAGGACAAGGTGTGGCAAATCCCAAATGCATATACATGGAATTGTTCATAATAGTAACGAAGAGTATTCATTACAGCAGGTGCTGTGTTATGCTTTGCTGTAATCACAGCAGGTGCTCTGTTATGCTTTGCTGTAGTCACAGCAGGCGCTGCCGTGAAGTCAGACGTTCAGTGTAATGAATGTGTAAGTTGACTTCTCCATGTTGAACGTACCCACACTAAGAGGTTGGGTATGATCAGATTCAAGTATGTTTTTTGTATGATCTTACCAGGTTTGTTTCATGGGCAATCATAATTGAGAAGTACAGGTGACTTATTCATCTGAGGTAAAAGTAATTGAGCTTCTGCATTATTTGAATTCAATTCAGGCTTTTCTTTGTTGTTGAATCCCGAGAGAATCGTCAACACAAGAGCTGGGTGAGTTTGCTCTCTCTGAGTTCATTCAAATTGGGCTCGTTATAAAACACTTGACAGGGAGAGTTGGACAATGTGACTCTTGTTTCCATTGTGAAGTTTTGTATCGTGCTCTTGAGGGGGTTTCGCTCGTCAGTCTTTCAGATCGGAGCAACCACCCATCCAGTAACTCGATGGAATGTTGGCAGCTGGTCTGCAATTGCTTGCCATAACAAGCGGAAGACTTGATTTCACTTGGTAAATATGAACAAACTGTGTACAACAATGTGGCTCCTTGGGCTGTCTTGTAGCTGTAGTGTATCAGGAAATAAAGAGTCACTTGACAATGACAGAACTGTCTCCCGATGATTCATGATTTGTGGGTTGTAAGAGCACCAACAATCCTTTCACCAGTGAACATCCAAAGCTGTCACACTTGTTACCTTACGGCAGTCCAGTTTTGTTTTTAAGAAATCACTTTTCTTATCAGTTTATACTTGAAAACTGCTTCAGGCAGACCCTGGGTAAACCTCAAGAGGTTGATATGTGAACAGATTTTTAAGAACTGGACTCTGGTTAAGATGCCTGTTTTTATTATTTTATTACAAATTCACAATACTGGTGCACTTTGAAGAATTACTACGAGGCCAACCTATCAACGAAAATGCAACCAATTTATACTGCATCCGAGTGGTTTCTGCTTCCGGTTCCAAATGAAAAATATTTCCCAACTTTACAAACTTACTGAGACGGCACTTTAACCCAGGAGGTTTTGCTAACTTAACCGAGTTTTACGTTTTCAAAAGCCCTCTCTGGAACAGGCTGGTGAAAGGCTTGACCTTTGACCCTTGAGTTTATTTTCTATGTATAATACTGTTTTCTAACCCGTCCAGTCCAGAGCTGTGGTGCCGACTTCACATTTGGGAAATGTAATGGCTGTGTGTGTGCTAATTGTCCATGTGCTCTGATGCATGGCCCACCATTTTGGTTCCAACAACGGAGACACTCATGTCGCAACTCTATATACAGCTCTGGTCAGTCTTTGAGCCAGTTCCTGTTAAGACTCAAACATCAGTCCTCTGTCCTTTCACATAATTCCAGACAATAAACAGTCTGTACCGACCATCCAAGAGCTACAACGCCGCATTGTCTGGTACCTCGACTCACATAGATTCCAGCTGCTTCACCAGTGCCTCTCTCTCCTTGATGACCTTCCAGGCCTGGTCCCTTTCCTTTTTAGTGGGCGAGCGTTTCTTCTGCTTGGCTGCCATGATGCGACGGAATGCATCCATTGCCTGAAACAAAAGTCCAATGATACAGTCTGAAGTGATACCGGGGGGAAATCTGTCATGAACAATTCTACTAAGCCAACCTCAGCATCCTGCACTCAAGCGCAGAGTTAGAGTTGAGCCCATCCACAATTTCACAAACGCCCATCCAAAGTCACTCATCAGTCTCAAACGAGGGCACTGATTCAGGTCGGAGGGGGGACTTTTGAGAAATGTCCTTTAACACCAAGGGATGCTGTTATCATATTTTCAATGTTTTAATTTTACTGTTTAGTAATTTTTCAACCACATAGAAACTTCAAGCTCTTGGCTTCAATTACCTGGTGCAGTCCACACATCACCAACAGTAAAATCAAACACTCCCCATTTAATAAAGAAAGTCTACATTTGGCACAAACAGCCGACAACAGTCACTCTTCACACCTGGGCTCAATTTCACGAAGCTGCTTAACAGCAGAAAAGTCGCGCTTACTATTTGAAGAAAAAATTACTAACCTTAAGTACTATTTAATGACCGTGCTTGGTGTGGTTGTGCTTACAGTTTCTATTGCTAAGTCACTACAATAAGCTCCTTCAAGGTAAGGGTGCCTTTAATCCCGCTTACTACTTACAGTATAAACAAAGCTTGTTAGCATAAAAATCACGTGCTTCGCAATAATGACATAAAATTGGACCAAGGTCCAGAGTGCCTCCGATTTTAATCCTTTGTCCATCATGAAACAGTTTCTCTCCAATTTACCTCGTTATCGGCAGCTCTGAGTTTCTGTCGGACCTCCTGCCTTTTCATCTCCTCCTTTGCCAGTCGATATAATCGCATCTTCTGGCTGCGATTGTGTGCTGACAGGGCTCTCAACTCGGCTTGCCTCTTCTGAAGTTCTACCAAGATTTCATCGTCTGTGTCGTCGGTGACTGGGTCGTCTGCGTCTAGGAGACCTACGAGAATGATTTCAATGTAAAGTTAATTGATAAGCGTTAGAAACAAAACTATGTGAAGAAAACTTACCACTTCCATTCTGTTAATGGTCCAGACAAATTAACTTGTCCCTAGGTAATTGATGTGCTTGAAATTTACTTCAAAATGTAACAGCCTTCTCTTTAGGGTTTCTGGAAAATGAGGTCTGGTGGTTCAGACCAGTTACTTGTGATCATAAGGTAAGTGGTTCGAATCTAGCCACTGGCCACGAGCAGTATTTCAGCAGATGTAGATAAACACCAGCCTGACAAACCCTCACTAGCTTGGGACAGACTTTACCTCTCGGCTTTCCTGACATTGGTTGCTCAATTTTAATATGGTCAAAGCCCACTCACCTTGCAGCATTTGTATCACTTCATAAGGGTTGCTTGAATACTCTTAAAAGTAACAACAGAAAAAGGTATTCTTGAGATCGGCTTTACCTAGATGAAGCAGCTCTTCCCGAAGCCTGGCTTCCAAAGCCCTGGTGTGAGGGACAGTAAATCGATTGCCGTTCTTGGGGGATATTCCATCTTTGCTGTCGGGACCATCACTCTGAAATGATGGCATCAACGTCTGCTGATCATTGATCTGTCCAAGCATATACACACTTACACTCTACGTGAAAATGACCACAGCGACACCGTGGTGTTCTTTTTGTTGTTGAAATTCTGGAACTAGGTACTTTCCTGTGAACGACATTCCAAGTTAAAATGGACTAGCAGAACTTGCAAAGCTACTGAATGAGACGATGGCAGAAATGTTGCTCCATACCTTGGGGGTCGTCTCTGAGATAATGTCCTCAATCGGTGTCATGATATTTTCCTCGACTAACGCTGAGATCAGGCGCTGTGTGAGTGGTCCAAATGGACAGATGTCCTCCTCGCGACTGAAAAAAAATTTAAGTTAAACGCACTCATGTTCAAACAGGGATAAACGGTAATTTGACAGCGTTTCATGTCGTGCCATCCGTCTTGGAGCACATTTTTTGTATGAAATACGGAACTAGAATGTCAATGATATTTAACCCAAACTCGACCAGATCCTTCAAAACCCACAGATAGAAAAGGGTCATGCACGTACCTCTCTGCTTTCTTGAGGAGGGCCTTGGTCTCTTTACTGTTTGCTGAGTTTACTGAACCTTTCTTCTTGTCACCCATTTTGCTTCCTTTAATGGAAAGAGATGGCAAGATGGTACAATCCGTAAGTCCACACACATTATGTAACGTCCAAAACCAACTCTATACAGCCACAAAATTTGGGCACAATTGTATGAAACAATACATAAGCCACAAAATTCTCCTCTTATCAATATAAAATGAATGGAAAAATTACTAATATTATAATCAATGAAACAATTTAAAGTAAATGAAGCTCACTTCATAATGATCGAACAAATACACAGATCAGTTCAGTATTATCCTTGTGAAAATAAAGGTTTCCTCTGAAAAAGGACACAGGAGGCTGACCACAACTTCCTCCACCAAGAAGCTCCAACGTTCAGTGAAGGAAACTTCACTCTGATCACTCACTCATGCAGGCTGCTTATCCACGCAGTCTGTCTGCCCCGAGCAGAACCAAAAGAGGGCGCAATTTTCCTGGCAACATAGGCTCCTTTGATAGGAAATGGACTTCACTGATTCACAACCGGCTATGAAGTGCATGCACTGTGGTCGCTTTGCAACCAAGAACATGAACACTTCTCGTCAACATGGTTCTTTTCAACCAATGACGGGGGCTTCTGCTCAAGTTGGATTAGGTGATAAACCATCTGTTTATCTCTAATCTGTCTGTCAGTCTCTCTTGTCTGTCTGTCTGTCTGTCTGTTTTGGGTGGCCCACCTTCTTTCTGCTCCTCCAGTAAGTCCTCCTGAGCCCATCTCAGGGCGTAGTGTTTCCCCAGGGGAGGGATCTTGAAGTAGTCCATGTCGTCGTCTGATGTCTTCAGCATATCGTCCAGCACCTTTACATCTTCGTTGGTGATGTCCGTGCAGTAGGGCTCCACCGATGTCCAGAATCGATCTGGTGCATCATTGCGGGGGATGCGGGGCGCCAGTGGCTCAGCTAAGGGATCATCTGTGAATTCGTACTCCTGGAGCTTTTGCTGGAAAGAAATAAGAACTTTTCGTTTTTCTCGTTCCAATCTCAGTCCCTCGTTACTTTTTTCAAGGATGCTTTCCAAATCTTGGAAAAAAAATCCCCTCTGTGCAGAAAATCAACAGCAAAATTCTTTGCTTCTTAATTCACAGGAGCATCGCCCCTTATAAAGGAATTCTGGAAGCTACATCCTACACATTCCTATAAAAAACACCAAAACCCCTCAAATGACTTTACTGAATCTCAAATGGTTTAGAGTCACTATAAACATGATAAACAGCTCTCTTTCAATCTATGCATGTGTTACATTTCCAAACGGTGGTCTGCCAACGATTATTTAATAAAAGTTTCCAGTTAAGATTCAAGAGATTCTGAGAACTGAAGTAACATGGCCTGTCTTAGAATGAGCCACTAGCTTGAGGAACTGAGTGCAGGCATCTTGTACATGATAGCAATGTAGAGCTGTTTGAGGCAATCTCATCTGACTTACATGCATACTCTTTGCCTTGGGTCGTCCTGACGTGACAGGTGTTACCGTTGTTGCGGTGGCTGCCATCGCGCCCTGCTTGCCGCCCGATTCCTTGATCTTCTTGGGAGGTTTCTCTGGTTTGTCTGGTTTCTCCTCGACCCGGCTTCTCTTCCCCGACGGAGTGGTCGGCTCATCTTTCTGCTGGACCAAGACACAAAACACTGAATCTTATCTGTTCTAATCAGCGTCATTAAACAAAATCAGAGTAAATAAAATCAGGGTGAGAAACTATGGCAGTAGTTGACAACTTAATCCAACCCAGTTTCCATGAGCTTTGTAACTGGGCTCTTCACAGTCCGTCTAGTTAGGAATTACAGTAAAACAACTGCACTGTAACGCTCATGTCCCGACTGCTAACAATTCGGATAATTGACTTTTTCTGGTACAATCGTGTCAACACAGCTTGGAAAATATTTTCCAATTACGAGATTCAAATAATGGATGCAGGACGCACAAACTTGAGACAAGCAAAACTCAATGTATAAAATGCCTTGGTGTTGTTTTGGGGGCGTGGCTGACTGGCACAGTGATAGGTGAGTGGGAGACTTTGCGACGCATGGTGACAGCAGTCAAACCAGTCCTTTCCTGCCGTTGTGCACGTGTTCAAAACTAACACACAGTTAGAGGCTGTCCACCCAAAACTTGCTGTAGTGACTTATGACTCATTTTGCTACATTGAATAACAACTGCAAATTGAGGAGTGCGCTGGAGTGGCTTACAGGTTTGCCTTTGCCACTTGCCGGTGTGGGGGTAGCGGCTCCCTTTTTGTCTCGTCTCTCCAACCAGTCGATAAGTGTCTTGTTCTCTGTCTCCAGCTGCAGCATGCGTTTGGACACCGACGCCAGCAACGTTTCCAGCTCAAGTTGCAGAGTGTCCAACTCGTCTATGATGATACCGTCGTCGTCATCGCGCTGCAATACTGCAAGATAAGGACAACCATAACAGACATGTTTTTTGCTGTGCTAAAGACACTGAGCTGGACCAAGAGAGGGTGCCATTTCTCTAACAACGGAAGCTCCATTGGTAAGAGCTTTACTTCATTGGTTCACGAATGACTATGAGATGCATGCCTTGCGTGCGCGTCGCTACCAACAAAACAAACACTCCTGACCAGCACTGCTCTTTTTATAAGATGAGAGGTGCTTCTGCTCAAGGTGAATAAACTCATCTTAAATCGAAAAAGCGGCCATAACTTACACTTGAATGACTCTCATGAAAATTTTCTTTTGCACTCTACTTGATAAGCACAATGTTGCTCCATCATCTTATAGGTGCCGTTTGTCACACCTCAGCCATGGATTCTGTATCTTGATTGGCCGAGAGCTAGTCATGTGGCATTGGCTCTTTTTGTTATCTTGCATTCCACAGCCAAAAGATCTGTACCCACTGCAACCAAAGAACTATACACTTGACCACCGGCACTGTGTTCAAAGCATACTGGTGGGTACGTTGGGCATCACGCACAGTCCAAAGTGTCAACACGACAGAGCTGAATTCAAACATTTTATGAAGGGGTACTGTAGCCGGGAAAAGTGCTGGTAAATTTTCAACAACATTCTTAGAGAAATGGATGTACCTTTTATCTATTTACAATACACCAAATTAATCAGCTATTGCTTGAACCAGGCAAATATATCTACAGACAAGGCAGAAGAGGCGTTCTATGAAAACCACTGAAAGCTGCAGTAAAGCTAGCCTCCCTCGGTGTTCGGGGGAGCATCATCCTGACGTTTCTTCCACCATGATGCCGAGGGTGGCTAGTTTCACAGCACCACTCGAAGCACTCCATAGTGCATATTCTACAACACGGCTTCAACCTTTTCAATTTCTAGAAGGACTCCAATGATCACCTGTGGTATATCTAGGACAGGATTTCTCGTGGTCAACAGGAACAAACTCCTGAAACTGCAGAGGGCAATCTTTCACCTCGGTCATCTTCATGGTTGCTGAATGGTCCTACAAATGGCTGAAATTACAACAAAGTAGCAAACTTTGAAATCAAGTTCAGTTGGGAAGGGGGGTGGCTATTATATTAGTGGTAAGTGCTTGAATGAAGAATTTGGTTACAGAAAGGGCAAAACTTGTAAGCGCTGCAGGAAAAATATCTGTTTTGCCACAATGCCACCTCTGATTGGTCGATCACATACTCAGACTGACATATCAGGGTGCTTTGTGGGGCACACAGTGTGGAAACAAGTCTTAACTTGACTTCACCATGCTAACTTGTTTATTTCACAAACACAAACTTTAAGACACAATCAAATTGAGAGTTCCATATATGGACGCCACTTGACACCCTCCGCACAAACCCTTTACCCTATGAGACTGGTCTGAAACAAGTGGTTTTTCAAGTCAACGACTTGGTATCTTCCCTCCCAAATCATTTTTAAATGGAACTTTTCTGGACACGTTTTGCTCTCTAACATGTCTGATGAATAGTATACTCTGTCTGAGGCTATAGGTTACTACAGCTACAGGGAACCGGTGTCTGTTTATGGAACTCTCTCCTCCTAGCCACAGAGCCAGGATTATGAGTTAGAAACCCACCAGAAATGCACACAACCGGTGTTGTTATTTGTGGTTACGTGCACAAAATCACAGCCCCCCCCCCAAGCAGGCCCACAGCCATGACGGCCAGCTGCACAGCTCCCCCGGCCCACAGCGCCCCCAATTTTTAGCGCTAGCGGTCGACCACACACAGGTACGTAGGAAGAAGATTTGGTCTCAAAATACAGCCTACCGCCCACATATAAAGCTATATCAGCGTCTGTCACAGAGGAAGTCTTTCCACGGTCGGCTATACGTGATGCTGTTTTCCACTTGATGGAAGATATGACAGTTATAAGCTGTAAATCGGGCGCGTGGATGGGCAACCTCGCGCTGCAGGATAGCTCATGCTTTGTTGCGAGAATTAATGACCTGGACAGCTCGAAATCATGCATATGCATGTCCTAAATCGAGGTGACCTTTACACTTTGACCAGCGCAGCACTGCATGCAAGAAATGGTGTAAACGTAAGTGCGGTGTAGGGATCGCTCTCTCGCGCAAGACCCTCGAAGAATATTGGGAATATTTTTGGAAATTGGTGATAGGCCCATTGTTTGAAGTTTTGTGAGGGACGGTTGTTGCACAATTCACAAATGGTCAAAAAAGAGAGAGGCCATGCATCGGGTGTCACTCAGTCATGGCAAGTGGAAGGCAGGTCCCTTATTCATGTTAATGTTATTTCGCCACTTACTGACTTGACAACAGGTGACATTAAGAACCTGGTGACTATACGGTCACACACGTTAGGTTAATTCTTGCATACCTCGTTCTTCATTAATTCAGTGCTAGTAACAGTGTTCGGAGAAAATGTTGCATCCTGACTCCCCTTCAGCAGTTGTGTACAAAGTCTCTGGGGAGTGCAGAGAATTTTCTAAGTATTTCCCAACAACATCGGCAAATGGTTCTCAGTCCAGAGTTCGTGTCTTTCCAGGATTTCTGACTGACTGACATTTATTGAGATGATGATGAAAAAAGTGGAGTCAGGATGCAACATTTCTTCCTCAGACTGCGGTATATGGAATAGTTGAATGTTCGTCCTTTTCTGAACAAGCGTTGCTTTTAACAAGACCCCTCCACTTCCCTTATGTCATGATTTTAGGCCTACCTAACACTGGTTACTGTTCATGGTCAGATTGTACCATATATGTTATCCCTACCCTAGCAGAATTCTAGGGGTTCGTCATCCACTACGCTCCCACGTAGAAGCGTAGCGTATTACGAACACCCGAGTTCCAGGGCTTTGAATGTGTTACATGTATTTGTTAAAACTTTTTGTGTTTGTGGAGGGGAAATAAAGTAAAACAATGTAAGCGAGGTGCCTTTTTCTTTTGTTTCTAGGTCCACTGTGATGAACTGACAGGATTCCAAGACTGCGATCATGACCATGATGTGTGATGACTATTGATATTATGTTATTGCCACACTGACATCATGTTCCGACTCAGCCTAAACCATTCCTATCCCATTAGTGTTGCTTTTTTTGCTCTGCTGTCTCGGTTAACGGCTATTTTGATTCAGGTAAGATTTCTACGGCACAGTTGTCATGGTTGTGCCTAATCTGAGCCTCTCAACTCTCATGTTTGCCACAGCTTGAACATCGGATAAATTTCTAAATGCTGGCTGTTTTCTGCAACGGTTAGCCAAACTAAGCCACTGGCCAGAAATGACAGTGAGATTCCTGAGTGGTTTGTAGCTGTCAGCAATTTCTATCACACCAGGTAGATGCTCACTGATTGGTGGAAATGAAAATGTTAAAAATGCATAAACCTTGCAAAATCATTTGCCAAATCTGAATGCACATGTATTTTTATAGATATTATAATGTCTTTTCATAGACAGAGTCTGGCATTGGTATGATGTTGCCAGAATGACTTGTTTTCTTTTTGCAGGTTGCGTTTGCTAATGTACTACCTGACCATCAGGCCGATGCATTTCATCTGGAGCCTATCGCAAACCCCTCAGCATCCGACAGATTTCTTCATTTCCTCCTCGGCGGATATTCAAAGTGGGATGCATCCTATTTCCTCCACATCGTCCAGCACGGATACACCGAGACGCAGATGTTTGCATTTTTCCCGCTCTTCCCAAGCGTCGTCCGCGTCTTTGCAGAAATCATTGTGCTCCCGTTACAACAGTTGTTATCCTTGCGCATGCACTTGTTTAGCAGTGTTTTGCTGTCTGCTGTCACCCTGAACATCTTCCTGTTCTCTTGTGCGGCAGTATTGCTGTATCACCTAGGAGTTCGTGTGCTGTCTTGTCAACGGCTCGCATACAAAGCAGCGCTGCTGTTCTGCATCAACCCGGCCAGCGTGTTCATGACGTCGGCGTACACAGAATCTCTTTTTGCTTCGCTGAGTTTCGCAGGGATGCTGGCGCTCGAACATGACAAACTTTTGTGCTCTGCACTTTGTTTCGCATTCTCGGGTGCGGCGCGATCCAATGGCATCATCTCAGTAGCGTTCCTCTTGTACTTTTCAGTGAAAAAGGGTGCTGCCTTATTCAACGATGTTGTTCAATTCGAACGTGAAGAAAGCAGACTTAAGGCAACCGTGTTGTGGAAGATGACATGTTGTCATCTTAGGGATGTTCTTGGGATTGCATCTGTACTGCCACTATGTTGCATAATCTTTCTTCCATTTGTCTTGTTCCAAATTTACTCGTTTATGACAATTTGTACCAGTGAGAATGACATTGTGTCTTTCGTGACCAGTTATTTCTACGGGATGACGATACCTGTGCTAGACCACGCACCATCATTTTGTGATGAGAGCATGGCGATACCTTACACAGCAATCCAGTCTCAGCATTGGAATGTAGGCTTTTTGAAGTACTACGAACTGAAACAATTGCCCAATTTTCTACTCGCATTGCCAATGGTTGTCCTGTGCGTCGATGCAGTCGCAACATACTGTCGGAAGAGATGGCAATATGTACGCGTGTTGGGGTTACTGGAGACGCCGCAGGTGCAGTTGGAGTATAGGAGAAGCGTGCAAGGCAGGCCGTGGCTTGGTGTGTTCAGCAACAAGTCGTTTGTGTACATCGTTCATTTAGCAGCACTGCTTCTCTTCGGCATCTCCTCTATGCATGTACAGGTGGGAACAGAAATTTGTTAATTTTTTTTGTTACATGCAGGAGTGTTGTTTGGTGGCAAAACACTTTCCGTGCTAGTTTTCCATGCCAATGTTACTTCATCACAGTAGGTTCGCTGAATTTTCAAAAAACATTTCCATGTTTGGCTTCACAGGTGGTCACCAGATTCATTGCGTCCAGTTGCCCGGTGGTTTTCTGGTACGCGGCTTATGTGACAAGTGACAAGAGCGAAGAAGTTTGTCGGCCTCGTGAGGAACAGGCCCAACACCAAGACACTGGCGGTAGACAGAACATTAACGGATTCGCCGGTAATGACTCCTTGTTGGATGTAAGCAAGAATGCATTGATACTGCAGTTTATGAGATGGAAGGAGCAGCGTGTGGGCACAAGGCTTGTTTTAGGCTACTTTGCTGGGTATTTCGTCGTCGGTATTGCCATGCATTGTAATTTTTTACCATGGACATAATGACGTTTGTTGTACATAGAATGAGATGTTTATGATCAGTGCAATGGTAAGGAAAATTTCCTGAGGTGATGGATGGAATGTTCTATTCCATGAGGCTTTCCCTGCAAATTGAAGTTATAAAACAAAAATTTGACTGCTTCACGTGGCAAAATAAAACAAGCCTCCCGAGTTGATCCGCTGAGCTTTTTGAAATTTGTTGCAGATGGTGTCAAGTGGGTCAGAGAAAGCCAATGTTACTTCAAGAGTTGAAGCAATTTAAATTTTTTTAAACACCTCGTACATAGATTCATTGCAATTTTAAAGCTGTTATTAACAATCATGAATCAATGCATGCCTTGTTTTAGAGCATCTTACGACAGATTTGGCTGCAACTCTTCATATAAAACACTGCAGAGAACAAGCAAATATTGATCTTCAAATTGTTTTTTGCCAATTGCAAAGCTTTTTAATACACTACAAATATACATGCCAATCCTCAGTCCTCAAAATTTTCAGTAGTTACATGTATGCGTGCTGTGTTGGTACAGTCCTTCCCTAGAACAAAATGACACACTGAAGACAGTCGGTCCGTACAGAAACCTGTTGATTGGCACCGACCGTCCCTCAGTAATTTTCTGTCTTGCAATAAATGATTACGTACAAAAAGGCCTATAAATCGATCAAATCCACTTAATTTGGCTCATCAGTTTGGCCCTTCAGTTTCTCCACAGACCAGAATCCAGTTATATGTAGCTGGTATTGTTGCCTCCGAGTTGTTCTCTATAATTTCAACAAGTTTGTTACCAGCATTTGGGAACTTCATGTTAGTTGCATCACGAACTGTGTATAGCTGCTCCGCCACAAACTGTCGTATTGCATGTACAAAGTCTGTGGACGGTACGTCGCTTTATGCTGCAACCAACGATATGAATGATGGATAGTTTGACCCGTGAAACGGTATTTACAACTGAAGAGCTATTACATACATGTACATAGGATGCAAGTGCTAAAATTCAAAATTAAGAAATTCACTTTTGAGCTAATCACAAGAGCAGGGAATTTCTTATGTATCAATCTTATAAATCTAGTTTTGTTCCCATGTCAATATTTTTTATAACACTCCCCAACAATGCAGGTGTCATAGGTGTACCCCACGTTACCTCAAACAAGAATGTGTGACTAGTTCACAGTTTGTTTGATAGAGTAGCAAATCAAAAACACTTAAGGACTAAATATGGAGTTTGTTAATCTTATTCTATAGGATCTGGTCGCTTCTTTACTTCTCGTACTAGAAATAAAATCTTCAGAAATGTCCTTGTCACCAAAAATATACGCAAATTTCACACTCACAGTGCGCCAGGCGACAGCATCTTCCACAGTGGATGTGGCGTAACAATTGCCCCAAAGTAACATCTGAATACGTGTAATTATCTTATGCATTGTTCACTGACGAGATACTCATTCCATATTTATATAATCATCAGTAAGCATAGTTTTATACATTTAGGATATATAGGTCAACATCTATATACAATATATGACTTTCAAATTGTTTGGTTTTTTCTACATACTGAAAATTTCTTAATATCAGCAAAACGCTTAATTTCCAAACAATGCTTTCTATTTCCAAGCAATGCTTTCAATTTTGAGAGAAAAAAAAATCAACCCACACAATCCTGAATTCAAAACAGGATTCCGGGATGATTGAGAAAAATTCATTTTCCGACTTATTTGGCTTGCGGGAATCTTTGAAGAATGTGGATGCAGTAGAGCTGAATTCTAGAACTTGATTTGAAAGCAACCGAGAAAATTGCAGAACTTATAATGAACTCAATTTCAGTTTTTCGATGGGAAGTAATGAAATCCCATGGTTACTGGAATTGACAGAAGTCACAAAACAAACGTTTTTCGTTGACAAAATCAACTTATTCATAATTTCTCACTAGTTTGATTACCGAAGTCAAACACTCCTTTTATGGGGCTGTCTTTCAAGCACACCACCTCCTTTTCTCACCCAAACCATTTTTTTTCTATATTGTTTTTATACATGTGCAGCGTAGCTGCCATTGTGAAAAAGTTCCGTTTACCTCGAAGAAATGAATGTCGCATGCTACAGCTGTCACTTATGCTACATAGTACAAAGGTCGACAGACTTCTTATGTGTCTCTCTAACATATGGGAGAAACTCTTGCTCAAATGTTTATTCCTTAAGAAAGGAACAACAAATCAATTACTGAATAGTAAAGGGTACGAGAGAGTTTGGCGCATGGACAGTCTTAACCTGACAAACATTAACAGCCAGCAGAAGCTTGCTTGTACAGTGTATTGTGGGCCACATCCAGATTACTTGGCTATGGCTGACTGTGACACACAAGTCTATAGGAAATGACTGCAGCCGCTAGATAAGGGCTACTTATAGGAGTGTGTGTTTTTGTGAGTTGTAGCCAGGTAATTTTGACACAGCCACGTCCATTGTGACTTGACTATCTGATGGTCTGCAAGGCACCTTCCTTGGTGTTCACTGCTGACGTCGTTTCCTTGTGGGGTTTTGCGCTGTGCGTCTTTGGTGCAAGCAGTCTCTCGGTCATGATGCGAGCATACTGCAGCCTGCTGGCCAGCTCCCTACAGCAGCCGCACTTCTCAATCAGGCTCAAGCGGTAGGTGCGGAACTGACGCGTCTCATCGATGTACGTGACGGCAGCCATCAGTGGACACAGGATGATCTTGGTGTGGTCTTGGAAGAAGTTAATCTGTATAAACCAAACAATATGGAAAACGTTCAGCAAATTGTAGGCTTCAATGATGACATTATTTCCATGCCCATCAAAGTATTTTTTTTCTTCAAGACAGATCATCTCAATATGGAGATTTTTCTCTAAAACAAAGCTTCAATCTGTCAAAATTGAACTTCCGTTTCTGTTAGCATCTGATAGATACTTAATGCGTACAGAACTGACCAGCTCAAATTTCTCTTTGAACTTTCCGCAAAATCTTAACCTTTTGTTTCAATTAACTTCTACCATCCAAACTTGATAAATCATTTATATTACGCCTTGATGGGTAATTTTACCATCTCTAGTTTCTGGACCACCGTGAACGGAAGTACATAACATCACAGTACCTGTAGAGTTCCGTTGTTGAGATGCAAGACGATTGCACTGCGGGTCCTAAACCAAGTCCTGAGAAACGGCAGTCGGGCAAGGTTGTCAGATTCCAGCTTCACTGCGGCCCCTGTCTGTGAATACAGTTGAAATGTACAAAAGTAACATTCAAGTCGAGAAATTTGGCCACAACTTCGGACCAAGAAGCTGTTGACACCTGCAAAATGTATCGAGTAACCTGAACTGTACACGCACAAGCTGCATTTAATGCAATCTCTGTGAGCACGGCAGAGAATTTACACAAAGTAGTGTGTACAGATGAACAACGAAAAGTGGAAAATGCAGTCTTAAGGTATTACATTAATGGACAAAGAGGCCACGACCAAAATGCTCTATGGTGACTACTGCAAGTTTCATATAACTGACTGTAGCCAGGTTTTCTTGAGGCTTTTCACACTGGCTGAACGGGTTAGAGCAAAGAATCTGAATGGCTGTGTGATGATGTGCGTACTACTCCAAGATTGGTGGAGATGCCTCGATCAGTACACTGCATCCACCTTGAGCAGAAGCACCCCCTCGTTGGTCAGAAAGAGTCATGTTGGGTCATTGGCAGGAGCGTTCATTTTGTTATTGGGCGTTTGTGAACCAGCAAAGTGCAGTTCCCACTAAAGGAACCTCCATTGTTGGGAAAATTGCGCCCTCTCTTGGTCCCGCTCAGGCCTCATATAGGTCATAAACTTGGGACTGTACCTTGAGTAGATGCTCGCTCATGTAGTTTCGGAAGTACTTGAGGAGGGTGACCTTCTTGCGCATGCTTTCTGAGAAGCTGTCAATGCTGAAGAATTTCTCGGTTCCATCTCGCTCGATGTACTCCATATCTCTGGAGGGAGGAAAAAGCCATCAACTCGGGTCTTAACATTTCTCATCAACTGATGAAATCTAAAAAGAATTTTGAAGCAGTAAGCAAGGAAAGCCACTGAGCAAGCAAGAGCCAGTTCAGAACATTTGGAAGGGTCATGTCGTTCCCACTGAACTAATTACGTTCAATACTTGCTGGCCACTTTGTTGCCGCGTTTGTTACCCACAAACTTTCCTTTTTTTCTTGTCAAACAAATTCCAACATCAACAATGATGCTTAACCATTACAGTCTCTTCGATGCCTTTACACGGTGGCCTTTTAAAAGCCCACAATGTGCTTTTCAATCCACTTACTCTCCATTGGACTGCAGCAAGAGCTTGGTGGAATCGTTGAAGAGGACGCCAAAGCTGCCGTCGCTGAGCTGGTAGCCAAGGCCGTATTTGTCGGAGTAATCCACCCACTTGCTGATCCACAGGACGGGGGCCGCTGCTGGGTCCTCGGCGTCATCTTTGCAAAGGAAACACACTCAAGTCAATTCTCTTTGTAATGTCATCCTCTCAGGATGGCTTGAACACCAAGAAATGCCTCTGACAAATCATCACTTTCTGAGCCCAGTGTTTGGATTGTCATTACAGGACTTTTTAAAATTAAGATGGCACTATGGTGTACATGCATTGACTCGTCTCTTTATAAACCTTCAGAAGGTGTGAGTACTTCAGAGCACTTTAAGAACATCAAAAAAATCTTTGCGTAGCATAAAGTTGAATGAGCAAAGAAAAGTTGGTAAGATAACACACAGATCAACTTTTGAATCAATTAAAGGGTGTAAACAAACATGCCGAACACTAAAATAAGGACATGTGTCAGCCGTATGCAATAATCTCACTCACCCATTCTCATGTCGACTACCTCCGCTGGTTTGCAGTGGACGACTGATACCAGTTGACTCAGGAGGTCCGTCAAGTAACTGCATTCTGTGAATTGAATCAAAACCAAATCATACCATCCATTCAAACAAACTTGCAATGCAGTTAAAATGGAAAAAAAAATTACGTTTAGTTGCAAACTGCATGGAGTCCAAAGTTTCTTGGCCTGAAATTGAACACTTACAGTTGGAACATCTTTTCACCGGGAGGATTTTAAATTGATTAAAAAAGCTAACATCTGCATCCTCACCAACTGATTCCTACGCTATGACCAGATCAACAATCATCAGACACAATTTAACCCTAACGATCCCTAACCAGCCCAACGCCAACACCAGGGTTTGTTGGAATCTGTAAGGGTGATTACTGCACTGGTATACTGAAGAGTTGTAGGTGGGATTTGGCATCCCACAAGTAAACAGAGAAACACTGTTTATGCAAACAGTTTACTGTAATGGTGTTAAGATTTTCAAGGATGAGGGAGGTTGCTAGTAAATCACTCTAGGGACTTAGGAAATCACTCTAGGGACTTAGGAAATCACTCTAGGGACTTAGGGTTGGTTATTGTATAACATGCAAGTGTTGAAGACTTTCGTACCACAAATTTCTTGGCAACCCCAGGTTCATATTTACAAGACCATTACCTTCTTCGGTCTTTGCAGACTGTACTCTTGCTGTTGGGATAGACACAGCTTGATCCCTGCCGCTCGCTTGATTCTCACTCTGTCCTTGGAATGGCTTAGGCAGGGTGCCCTTGTGGAGCAAGTCCATGCCTGCCTTCGTCGGGGACGCATTTTCGTCTGTGTTTCCAAAATATGAACAGATTTTTTAGGTTAAAACAAGTCAAACGACAAACCTATCTGGTTACTTACAAGGAGTATTTGAAAATCTGAAGATTAAACCCTAGCAAGTTGGTGTTTGTACATGTACCATGGTCTAATAGCTGTTAGATTGACAAGCAACACACCCGTAACCTTCAATTATCCCCAGGCCAATTCATGGTCTCAGAGTTCAAGTCTACCTGCCACCCTAGGATCCAACAGTGACACTGTTTAATACGACTGGTAACCATTTCATTGGAAGCACAGGTCGCCGCACCCCCATGCAAGATCCGGCAGATTTGTGCACCTGTTACCCACGTGTTCATTCAGCATGGTTAATGTTGCAATGTTTCAATGTAACGAGGTTGAAAGGAAATCTTCAGTAAACAATGTTCTTCACATTGTGGCTATGAGGGTTTGCTCTGTGGTATGCCTGGTAATTCTTTCTGTACTTGCCATTAAGTGGTGGCTTTAAGTATGTAACATTTGCACCATCTCTTACAAGCAAGCCAGTATTACCCTTTGCGTTGATCTCCTTAAGTGGCTTCCGAGTCACCAATGGCGCAAACCGAGGTGTAACCGTCAGGCACGTAGTCGGCAGCTTTGGAGGAAGGTAATCGCTGGTGAAGAAGGTGTCCTCGAGGAGGGAATCGACGCTGGGCCTCTCGTGGGGATTGTTCTTCAGGAGGCGAGAGATAAGCGAGCGGGCAGCGGGGGACACCTTGCACGACGATGGGATGCTGTACTCGTTCCTCTTGATGCGGAGGTATGTGTCCTTCAGACAAGATGTTTCGAATGGCGGCTTGCCAACCAGAAGTGTGAACCTGTATCAAATTATGAAGTCACATCACTTGCCATGAAATGACAGATTACACCTAATTGCTTTTTGGGGGGGAAGCAACCTGCGGTAGACAGGCATCCCATCCGAGGGAATAGAAATATTCTCAGTCATTTCATGCCAAGGAAGGAGATAAACACCGGCCTGATGAGCCAACTTGGCTCGGACCAGACTTGCTTTTGCTTACATGATACATCCCAGGGACCATATGTCCACCTCGTAGCTGTGTCCTTTCTTAGCCAGGACCTCCGGAGCGATGTAGTTGGGCGTCCCGCACAAAGTCCTCTTTCTCTCCCCCTCTTTCTCAATTCTTGTTGCCAGGCCGAAATCTCCAAGCTGAGGACGATGACAGAGATATCAAGCGAAGGTTAAAAACTACTGTTGAACACCATTTTTATTAAGGTCCTTGGGACTTCAGAGTTACGTTGCTCAAACAGGGACCTTCCAGAATTGGAAACATATACAAAAAACTTTGGGATGCCAAATTTATCTTTAGAGAAGCAAGATATATCAATTAACAGTGCTCTTATTACCGGTGTTTAACTGTATATGGATAACAGTAAAAACAATCCCAGAAGTGGAGACTATAACTCCCAATATGTATTCTTTTCTAGGTGCTCCCTGAATCCTTAAAGGTCTTCTCTACTACAAGTAATTGTTGAAGGAACTGCCAACCTTTAAATCCATTTCGTCATCGAGGAAGAGATTGCCCAGTTTCAGGTCACGATGGATGATCTGATTCTTGTGAAGGTACTGCATTGCCAAGACGGCATGACGCATAAAATAGCGCGTCTCAGGCTCTGTTATGGCCCGGCGACGTTTGTGCAACTCCATCAAAGACTGAGAGAGAGAGAAAGACAGAAAAATATTTGAAAAAAGTTGACAAGCAAAATAGGTCTCCGTCACATGCACTTCAAAAATGAGTAGTCTTTACTCGTAGTCACGTATTGTCTGTCACGCTGCAAATTGGAGTTAATATTGTGGAGAGAAAAACATTGTCAAGGGAGTTGAAAAGCGTTGAGTAATCAAACGGGGAAAGGGCCAAAAAATCTTGGCATCCATGTCAAATATTCTTTCAAACCAACAGTTCCATCAATGTCCTTGACAAAGAATGAGAAATCAACTCAACATGCCAGATAGCGGAAATATCAGCAATGCAATGTACAAAAAAATTTGAACTCTTACAAATATGCAAGGTTTTTTTAAATATGCAAAATTTAACTACAAAAAATAAAAGCACCTACTCTTCTTCGGCAAAGTTCCAGAAGAATGTAAACATTATCAGTATCCTCAAAGAATCCGTGAAAGCCCACAATGTGCTTGTGGCTGACGCTGCGATGTATAGCGATCTCCATCGACATCTAAAGAATGAAAATCAACGGCATTACATAAGGGCTGGTCCAAATGTTGCGGCTGTGGCTACCAATTCCATGTGTGCCTATGGAAGTCACTGGCTAGTGACTTCGGCCGTCAGACATGTATGCCACATTTCCACTCCCAGCCACGTGTCCATTTGGACATGGCTAAATAACTCATCTTTGTGACATATGTGATATGCTCTAGGAAAACCCATCAGATGACACCAAACCCGTATTGAAGATCATTCAAAGATAGTCCCAAAAGCAATTTTTTTGACTTTTTCAGCCCCACTTTGATAAATTATATTATCGTTCTGTAAAATATGTAATACAAATTCTCCTGTTTAATATCTAAAGTGCAGTTTGACGACAGGTAGTTAAAAGGCCATCACTGTTTTATGGAATTTATTTAGGTATGTCATTGAAACAAACATCCTCAAAAATGCCTGTTTAATGTTACTACAACTTTTGTAAAGTTTTAGTCAAGTTGTGTCCGATATGTACCTTGGGGAAATATTCAAATAAACCTTCCAAGCTAGATTTCTCAAAATGAGGCCAGCTGGTCTTTCAAATTTTATGGGAGGGTAACTTGAGTTTGTTGACAACCTATGATCGTAAATAGAGCTGTTTTGAAAAGTGCAAAGCTTGCCCTTTAATTAATTTGATGTGTCAAAAATAAAAATTTCACCAGGTGAAGGGTTTTCCCAGAATGCATCAACTAGTTTGGCGACATACGCTTGCATATATGAGGGGTACGACTGTGGCATCACCCGTGGCATCTGTCCAAAGTTACATGCCATTTGGATAGTCTCAGCTATAGTTTGTGAAAACATTCTTTTTTTTTTTATAAATGATGGTTACTTGCGCCAGCAGAATTTTGCCAACTATAGTTGGACCAGCCAACCTACAGTGATATATGGTTTGGACCAGCTGATGTGAGTTGATGTTAGGGCATAAAACATATGAACCATAAATTGTACAAATCCTTTTTATAGACAAATTTTTTTTTCGGGCAATAAACTGCTTATTTGGAAATGGAAAATGTAGAAAAGTTGCCATCTGCAGAGCAAAGTTGACCTTTTCCTTCTGGTGGGGTTTAACCAGCAAGTTCTTGGACACAATTTTGCCTGCATAGGTGGTGTTGGTAGCAACATCTATCAGCTCATAGCATTTGGCAAATCCTCCCTGTAATAAAACAAACAAATATGAGAGATAAATGTTATAGGCCTAGGCATACACATCAAGGCCAAATTTGAATTGCAGAAAAATTTACCTCCGGCCCTACATGGGAAATTCCCCACTCTTCACCCAACTTTCTCAAAAGACCTGTAAGGCTGTAAACTCACATTTAAACATGTTTTTTAACATACAGTACACATGTATTTATTTCTAATCACCATGATCATAGAATCAGAAATAAAGTCAGAGCCTAGGCCCTATGTCCTTATCCTGGATATTTTACAAGCCCATCAGCTGATCATGCCAATTCTAGCCTAACATTAAGTGATGAAACATGCTGAATTAAAACTGAAATATGTTGTGGACAGAAAAATATGAAAATATATAACTTGAAAGCCTGTTTAGCCAAATTAATAAACTGCAGTGCTGCTTGTTGAAGTGGACACGGTTGAACACGAACTTGTTAAAATCCCTCTTCTTTTCATATTTGTGTTTTTTAGCCTGGGCCCTAAATGTTTTTACCCTTTTCACTTTCCAGCTTCTTCTTCATGCTTTAAATTATTTTAGGTCAATTTGAGTTCAACCTAATTTTGAAATATAAAGCCTTTCTTACCTTCCCAAGGAATCGGCCTTTCTTGTATTTTTTCCCAGACCGCGGGTCGACGACGAAATCGGGAATGCATGCATCTTTCACCCTCAAATCTTCCCTTGGTCGAGCCGACATGTTCGGTTGTTTTCGTGGAACCTGTAGACAAACTCACGGCGCTACGAATGGATATTTTGTTTGAATTCTCAGTTAACTTTCTGCACGAAATGTTCACCGAAATCAGAGATTCAGACGTTAGTGTGTGCAAGTCCGCACTCTGAACATTGTTTGAATCATCGATCAATATGTGTGCTATGAGTGCTCAAAACGGCCGCCTTTAAATGCCCTTCTTTCAATTGGTCAATGGAAGTCACATCTCAACGCTGATTGGATAACGTCGGGTTTTAAGAAGTTACCTTTGACCCTTACGTCATCAACGAAGTGGGCTTTAAATGTCGCTGGTGCTCGATAAGTTAACGTGAAATGTACGAACAGTGACTTACCAGTGAAATTTATAATTGGAGTTTTGCATTATGCATGAAGCACAAAAAATGAAATCGTTGAAAATGTTTTGTCTAAGTTGATGGCCTATTTCAATCTTGTTGACGCTGCAGTTTACATTATAAAATAACGCCCAAAAATCGTAAACAGAAGAAATAATTATAATTCAATAAAAATTCAAACGCAGTCATTTTTATAAAGTTATTTTCAAATGAAGCCGTACGCGTTACGGCCGCTGTCAGTGGCTTCAAGATCCCTAAACACACGTGATATACACAATCGTAGCCAGGTTAGTTGGACTCGAGGCTAGGGGATCGGGGCGGGGCGAAGCGACGTGACCAAAGTGGCAATCATATCAGTAGCGCAATGGGGCGAAGTGGTGGTGCAACGTACGTGCACGTGGCCTATACGTTTGCGCGATATGGGCTTCTGCAGTTCATGTAGCCTGGTTCTTTTTCCTTCAGTGATGGCGATGTTGGCTGAGCCGAAACGGCGGCAGAAGTTATCTTCAGACCCAAGAAACAAGGCATGGACTAACAGTAAGTGTTTACGTGCATTTATGGTAAAAACAAGGCCAACAAGTGTATGTTTTTGTCTGTGTTTTATGGTTAGCCCGGTCTGATACCGGTAGTTACGTTTGTTACCCCCAGAACTGTGGGGTCCGACGTCCGCTAGCGCTCCGCCCCCACGAACGTTTGTTGGACCCCACAGTTCCGGGGGTAGCAGTTTGTCACTCACCACTGTCAGCAAATGACATGAATGAGCAATGCATTTGGCCTACTTTCATGAATTTTGTAGGCTAATGTTAGGCTAATGTACAACCATATTGTCAGATTGTGGACCCACAATTTGCAATATTTTGCCACATCGTCATCATATTATCATGGTCATGGCTACTCAAAATTAAGCCATTGTCTTTTTCACGCTGTATTACTATTGCATTGTACTTGTAGACATTGGTAGATTTAGGATAAAATTATTCATAAGTTTAAAATTTTTAAGCTTTCAACTTAATTTCAAGCGTGTCTAACATTAGGAAGAGAACTTGGGGAATCCCCGCCACGAACATCAGTCGATCGTCAGGTCATCACCATGGTCATGCGGTGTCCATTACTGGAATAGCCTGAATGAAATTATAAAAGCAGCGCCCACTTTATTAACATTTCCTCTAAAGTTGAATAATCTAATACTTTCTGAATACATCACCTGTACCGACTTGAATTGTATTTTGATGCATTGTATTATCTCCTGCCCGTCAGTGTTTGTCCGTATGTGTATCATTGCCAAAAACATGTTCATGTCTTGTATCGTCCTTTGTTATAATATGTATGTCTGTCAATAGGTTAGGGTACAATAGCTTAACCCTTTCCCTAAATGTTGTTCTTTAACGTGTTAATAAATAAAAAACAAAAAAAAATGGTCATGTATGTCAGACGGATTACAAATCCCTGTTATGCAGGTTAGTTCTCAGAACTGAGAGGTTGAATGGTATTTTTGCCTATATGCCTAGATGAAAACAAGTTTGGAGAGAAGCTGATGAAGAAGATGGGTTGGCAGCAAGGCAAGGGCCTGGGGATGAATGAAGATGGAATGACCAGCCACATCAAAGTAACTGTCAAGAACAACGTTTTAGGTATGTATAGAAAATGCTGTGCAGGAGTTCCTTCTTTAAAACAAGCGTGAGCTGGTAATTTCTTGGTCTTGGCCCAAGACGTCCTGTGGTAGGAACTCATCGCATCGCATTTGGAGCAGGACTCGCTGGGCATGTGCAACCAGTTTCTGTTTGAAAGTCTTCGCGTGTGCCCTGGGAAGGTGCATGAGCCTGCTTGAAAAACTTCCCATCTGCCTGCCTCTGCCGGTAGGGTACACTTCAACTCCTGACGGGTACTGAAACAAAGCTGTTTGTTTGAATACAGTAATAAATACACCTGCTTCTTGCCTTTCAAGGTTTAGGCTGCAGCCAACAGCACGACGATAACTGGATCGGTCACCAAGACGATTTCAACGATCTACTCAGCTCCCTGAATGAAGACCATGGTACATCAGACGACACAAAAACACCCAGCATCCCACAAAATCTGCAGGAGAAATCTAAGAAAGCCAAACACAGAGTGCAGTAAGTCGCAACGTAGACACTGGTCCCATTAATGTCCCAGTCGCTTTAACTTGTCCGTTCCTTGCCACATGACCTTTGAGATACATGTAGGTTGACTAATTTTCCCATTTTAATTTTAAAAAAGCTTGTGTGGATTTTATTAACCCAGCGAGTTGAAGCTTCAACTCCAAGTTTGGCCATGTTTCAGCCTCGAGACTTGTACACCTCGGCCATTTCTCATCAATGGGCCCATTACATAATCCAGTTGTGTATGTTCCTTGTTTTCTTTTCTTTGCTTAGCGGTAACCCTGTAGATGTGTGTAAATGATCTTCTTTATTCAGTGTTCCAACTTCAAAAATGGTAAATTTGACGTGCCCGAATGCAGTTTGAATCGTGATCTTGGTTGTTTTACCGTTAGTTTTCTCTTTGCGGAGGCACGGTGACCAATTCTAATTTTCGTTTGGCAGTTACAAAAGGTTTGCTCGTGGGAAAGATCTGTCTTCCTGCAGTAGCAGCGACATGAACTGCATCATGGGAGTCAGAAGCAACGGTGATACACCAAATGACCAATCACGGGTCCAGTCGGTGAGTATATTGACCAATCAGGTGGCTAGAAGTAGAAAGCCGGTACTGACTCTTCTTATCCCCCTTGAGCAGAAGCACCCCCTCATGGGTTGAAAAGAGCCACGTTGGTTGGGAGTGTTCAATTTGTTGGGAGCAATGTGGCACTGACGCGCGCATTTCCTAGTCATTCGTGAACCAGCGAAGTTCAGTTCTGACCAAACAAGCCCCCGTTGCTAAGAAAATAGCGCCCTCTCTTGGTCCAGCTCAAGGCCTATAGTAAAGTGTTCAAACATTGCAAAATGTCCACATACCTGAAGTATCTCAGTGTGGTGCCACACGTTAGCGGCCTTGTCTATCAGGCAACAATGTTTTGAACTGTCAGTAACGAAACTTGTTTTTTTATACGCGATGGTTGAGGTGATCTATTTTGTTAACTATAAAATGTTGGGATGCATTTATTAAATTGTGATTCATTAACGCAATGTTCTTTCAGGAAACCAATTCTGAGGATGATTCTGATGTTGAATGCGGTGCTAGAGCTGGTCTCGGTTGTGGATCATCCAGTTTACGACAAAGCAACTCCACTGTACATAACAGCTTTGGCGTACAGACTGTTACCAGCTCCAACTCCATTCAGGTAATGCTATCCGCCTTGAGCAGAAGCACCCCCTCATTTGTTGAAAAGAGCCATGCTGGTGGGAAGTGTTCATTTTGTTGGTAGAGACGCGACCTTGACACATGCATTTCATAGTCATTTGTGAACCGGCGTGCAGTGTCTACCACAGGAGCCTCAGTTGCTGGGAAAATTGCGCCCTCTCTTGGCCCCGCTCAGAGATCTTTACTGCTGCTAGTAAATGAATACATTTTCAAGTTTGATTTTGAAATGTTCTTCGGATTTTTTCCTCCACTAAAGCCCTGTGCACAAGCAACCTCTCCACTGTTGTTTTTTGCTTCCTCTCTAATTTTACAACAGGAGTATTTTTCTCGTAAGATGAAAGAGTTGCAGGAGAAACGGAGAGCGGAGGCAGTTTCCCATAGCAATGCAGTTGCCGGTAGCAACACTAAACCAAATGATGCAGAGTTTGCAAACACAGTGCCAGACGACACCTCTGAATTAGCCAACGGTAGAGACTGGGACGTTGATACGTGCTGTGGAATTGAAAAGAAGAGAAAGAAATCCAAGAAGAAAAGGACAAAAGAGAAAGAAGGGGCGTTGGTGGGAGACCAGGGAAATGGAGATGGTAGCCAGTCACATGACACGGCTAAGGTGGAGGACTCATTTGGCCTCAAAAACGACAGGTGTATGAAAAAGAAAAAGAAGAGAAAGCACAAGTCTTTAGCGGAGAACGGAGATAGTCAAGGTAGTTGCTCAGATACCATACCAAGTACGAAAGAAACGGTCACAAGAAAGAAGAAACTGAAGGTGGCTCACTAGGTTGCTGTGCGTGCAACAGAAAGCAACAGTCGTCCAATACGGTCAAACCTCGTTAACAAGAGGTCTTTGGGATTCAGCAGATTACTTAGAACAAGAACCATGTGATATCGGGAATGAAAAGCAACAGATTTAGACCTAAAATGAGCAGAAGTTGTATTAGCAGTGCTCATATTAACCCTAACTCCCCAGAGTGATTTACTAGGAACCGTACCCATTCACACAAATTCCAACACCATATGGTAACCGGTGCACAGAAACTGTTGGACTCTGTTTATTTTGGGTATGCCTGAACCCATGTCAAAGCACAAGCAGTTAGGGGTACAGTACCCAGTGCCACAAATTCACACACTTTACTGGTTTCTAATTCTGTGTGGTTAGGGAAGGTGAGGGTTAATGAAGTTTGCCTGTACTGTTCACATTGTTGAGTTCATTAGCAGTCGGCCCTGATGACATGGGTATATTGTACAACTTCTAAGTACCAAGGCAGGCCACTACATTATATGGTGCCTGGGGATCCACGGTTTCATTCTGTTCCATTCAGGGAGGTTCTCACTCCAGCTGTGATGGATTTTGTGGTGGCATATTTTCAACCCAAACTTTTGTCGGATGTTTTATATTTAGGAATGCCAAAATAACAACTTCTGCCCTCTGACTGGATAAAGTGGACAGAGAAAACCTTGGGTCTTTTTAAAGGTGAATGACTCTCCCGGCAATCATTAAATCATGCACAGCAAAATCATTTTTACTTGGAGGATAATAGACTGGTGTTATTTTGTTACCAAATGGAATTTAAATCAAGTTTTATTCAAAGTCTTATATACCACTACCTCGTAACATAAGTCAACAAGTTACTTTATAATTTGCCAATGATGGTTAAAAACCGACATCAGAAATAGAATACATTGATCTAAATACATGTACATCATTTTCCTTGAGTGCGGTGTCTTTGGCTGCATCCGAATCTCTTGTCTAGAGCTAGGTCTAGGTCTTCACTCCATTAGAAATACGTGGAGACGCGTAGACAATAGACCTAGCCATAGCTCTGGAAGCCCGTTTCGGACACGGCCTTACATAACCCACCCTCACAGTGCAGTGCTAAAAGAAATTGGGAGTTGTCTTGGTAATGAAAATAAAACTTCAGATCTTTTTGTCAGAAGTTGCCTGTGTATCAAACACTGTGTTACGACCCAGCAGTTCATCACCTTCAAAAAAATGTACAAAAGTCAAATCTACAAGAAAGCAAAGGACTGGAAGAAATCCCCTGATATTTTTGTCATTTAGAAAAGCACCTCCGTGCTTGTTTATAAATTTGGACTTGCTGAGTAATCATCGCAAACAAACTCACAAGTTACTGTTTTTTGCACAATGAAAAAGAAGACAAAGAATTTTTGTAGAGATGATCAGAAGTGTTACACCAAAAAAAAGTGTCTTGTACTTGCTCCATGAGAACCCTCTTCAAATTCTTTGGTACAAGATTCCGCATGCACATTTTTTTTAATCCGACCCGTAAAAAGGCAAATACTGAATGGCTTATCGGCACTCCATGGCATTTCCTAATTTATTTCCTAATTCAAAATGTGAATGTGGCCTTGTCTGAATTACTTGGCTGTGGCTTAAAATCATCAATCAACCTTTTGCATAGCAACCACCATCTCTGGAACTGACTGGTTCCTTTGTGTACTTTCTAAGTTCTTGTCCACTGAAAACAGAGAATTGGTGCAAGATGTCTCTTGTGTAACTAAGTAAAAGCCTGCCCCGAATCACGACGAATAACAACATTGGCTTTAGTATAAAGAATTCAAATGGTTATGTCCATGTGGATTAAAAGGACTCGGTGTACCAGATTTTTATTCAAATTTAACTCGCAACAGGCATAATCCAAGGTCCAGCCATATTGATTTGGATACGGCATATCTATGCTGGCAAGAGTTTGGTCAACTGTTCTTGCAGTTCACTTGGTTTGAACACTCCAAACTCCGTGATGATGCCTCCAGTGATCAGAGATCCTGGGGTCACATCGAAAGCAGGGTTCCAGATGCCTATACCTGCAGGAAGACAACACAGTGGTGTTCTTAATCTTTTGAAGTATTTATAAGTCATAACTTGTGTCTTGATGACCAGAGAACATTTGTATCCCCTCAGAACTTGTCAAACATGTCCATTCCAGCATTTCCCTGAATAAGGATCTACTCATTCAAGAATCAAGGAATACATGTAATTTCAAATGCACTTGACTCCATTTTGGTGAAAAATGGAATGTTCCATTTTACAAACTGAAGCCAAGTGAAATGGAATACAGTCGACTCTTGTTATAACACAGTTGCAGAGACCAAACAAATTACTGTCATAACCAGGACTATGTTATAGGAGTGGAAAAACAAAGAAAAACATACGAATTCAAAAAATTGGGATTCTCAAAATCTGTTCTTTATAACGGTATTTTATTATAACAATTTGTATTCCATCTGTCATCACCAAAAGAAAGTATGACCCAGAGTATGGCTGGATGGAACATTAATCGATTTGTTAACCTGCGGAATGGAACATTCCATTTTGGTGGTGTGGCATTGAGATGTATTTTTTGTTGAATAATTCATGACACATGATCAAGGATCCACCAATCAGATGATAAAGACTGACCCTCGGCAGCAATCTGTACCCCGTTGACGGACATCATCTCCTTCGCTGGTCTCTCCTCTATCACGATGCTGTCCCCACTGGCTAGGTTGAAATCACATGATGTGAATGGGCAGGCAACGTAGAATGGAATGTCGTGGTGCTTGGCACATAAAGCCAGCTGATATGTTCCAATTTTATTGGCTGTGTCACCATTGGCAACCACTCGGTCAGCACCAACAACTACAGCTAGAAAAACAGAGAAAAAAATGTGTAAATGTTTAACTCTGAATACGATTCTCCTAGGATCATAACATCTGGCTCTCTTACTTTTCAAATTAAAAGAAATCTGCACACACTCTTGTTGAAACGAGTTTTGAAACCTTGTATTCAACATTTATGGGTGTGTTCGAGCAGATTCCACAAGTTGACTCAGGTTCAACCTTGTTTCCAAAGTCTCACTTGTTTAGCACACAAAACACATGGCAATCCCCAGGTCAATGTTGCCCCCTGGAAGCTATTTGAACGCAGGCTGTACTTTCTGCATCTTGGATAAAACAATTTTGTTTGTCTTAAAGCAACAAAATGGCGACAACTGTATCTTTGTATACACTGCCCTGCCGTTTGTTTCTGCTAAACAGCCAATTGTCTTTTCTTTCAAATTTGCATTTAGAGGATTATTTAAAAAAAAAAGGAATGTGAAGTTAGAGACAATGCTGCCATCAGTCAGTCACCTTTTCTTCCTACTTTGCGGCTGTGAAAGAATGTTTTGAAAAAGGGTGTAAAATAACAGATTTCTTACAGATTTGAGTGATTCCACGACGCGATCACGAGATTGTGTGATTGTGCTGATTGCCTAATCCCACCCAACATGGATATCTCCCACGTTGCAGTCATTCAGTCTTGCTTATCACTGCAGTACCTGTTACTCCTTTCTTGATCATCGTGAATGCGGCCATGCTGTCTGTGATCAAAGAAGAGGGTATGTGGTCATGTACAAGCTCAAATGCTGTTAGTCTGGCTCCTTGATTGTATGGTCTGGTCTCCGTACAGAACACATGATCCAGATCATCTGATGCATGCAGAGCACGGATCACTCCTGTAAACCACATCAACCAAAAAAGTCAAGAAAATGTGAAAGTTGGCTACTGAATAATAAAACGACAGAATTCCAGCTGCGTCCGTCACAAAGTCCCTCTGCGTCCATCACAAAGTCGTTCAGTCTTAAACCAAGTCAAAAGCAGTTTTGTGAACTGAGACAAAAGCCCACGAGGAGTCTGTCAGTTTTTGGCCGTATCCAAAACAGGCTTCCAGAGCTACGGCTAGGTCTATTGTCTGTACGTCTCCACGCATTTCCAATGGAGCGAAGACCTAGACCTAGCCCGAGACAAGAGATTTGGATGCAGACTGTAAGTGCTTTGCACACAGTCCTAGGGCTAGCCTGGCTTTTGCCTCACCTAGTGATATACCACAGAAACAGGCCTTGTTTTACATTTCTACTGCTAGCCTGGTTTTCCTCTTGCAGTGCCACAGTTAATCACCCTGTGTTTTACAAAGACATGCCTAGCTTGGTCCTTCCCTCACCTAAGGCCGTTCCATAGCCAGCCGTAGCGAGCGACCCAGTGTTGCAATGCGTCATGACGGTTTGTTTGCCTGGTTTACAACGTTGCTTAATGTGCTGAGCTCCATGCTGTCCGATGCTCTTGTTACATTTGACGTCGCTCAAAAGCATCGACTCGGCTTCCTGAATTACTCTATAAGAAAATAACCACAACATTTAACATCATTTCCAATGCCAACTGTCTATTCAGGGCCAATGAAATTGCAATTTAACCTTGCATGTGATGGCAATAAACTGAGGGCAAAATACATGTATCTTCAATCTTGCAGTAATTTGGTGCTATATATATACAATTTTTTTCTTTTGGTAATAAAATAATTGGATGAAAAATCAGACTCCTTCACGGTTCTTAAGAACGGGAAGATGGAGACCAAACTATTCAACTGTGGAGCTCGGTGCTTCTTGCAGGTAATGTCACAAGAATGCAACAGTGGTTTACCATGCAAGGAGGATATTGGAGGCTTCAGTGAGGTCCCCGTAAAGCTTAACAGGTTGGGGTTTAACCCTTACTCCCTTGGCTCATTCAGCTAAGAGGCGTCCTTAGTCCTTCAAAATCCTCCAGCTGCCTCCTGGTAAAAACTGTATACAAACTCAGTCCACCAAAAATCTCCATGATTTCTTGCATATGTTCCTTGGAGGGATGGCCAGTACCTAAATCCTACAAACTCTACCAGCAATTCCAAGCTCTGTGTTGGAGCAACGCAAATAATATCCTGGAACATTGCAGATAATTTCAAACATCAACCAGGCCTGGAGTTATGGATGGCTAAGGAAGGTCCAACAAGATCTTAACACAATGCATCCTTTGCAATCAGCCACACTTTCATGGTATTCAGACTCAATCCTCCAATATCTTCCATAAACTTCCCAGAGGATTTTGAAGGATTGAGGAAGGTTAGGATTAACACTGACAGAGACAGGGAGGTACCAACCTTTGGCAGAGTTGTTGCGCTGTGATGTCAGGGTTGTCACGAATCATCTCCTCCATCAACGACTTGATACTATCAGCTGCACGCTTCATGTTGACGGCAGTTGGCCTGGCGGACACCAAGTAATCCAGCTGTTGTGAGATGAAGGAAACTGTCTCCTCCCGGCTTGTTGGTGTGTGATTGGCCAATTCCACAGCCAATGAGAGGCAGCCAACAATGGCAATGCACGGAGCTCCTCGCACCTGCAGTAAACAAGAATGCATTCAATAAGACCAGTACATGAAATGCACAATTTGTACAATGGCGCACAAAAGTAAACAGAAGTTGTGAAACATACTGTAAGTTAGTTCCGAATGATGCAAATCATCAATTTTTGAAAAAAAAAGAAAAAGCAGAAAACCTATTTAGGGAATTTTACCAGGTGCTTACAAATGATTAAAAGATGAACAAAGAAATTGACTGGAGCGGGATTTCAATCTGTGACCTCCGGGACACTGTACCAGTGCTCTACCAACTGAGGTATCGAGCCCTATGTCAGTGGCTCTTCCCATTTGTCAATACCTTTGTTCAGGGGCAGTAGTCAGAAGCCATGTAACTTGAAACACTAGACAGCCAGGGATCACGCCCCATTTATCAGAACAGAACTGGTATCTTTTGGAATGATTGGCTTGGTGAGTAGTTACCTTCATTTGCCGGATTGACTCCCATCCATCCCGCACGCTGGTTATTTCTTCATACTCAAGCTGGCTGGGTAATAACAACTGGTTCAGGACACGCAGCTTGTGATCCTTGTAACAGATGGATTCTAAGGATGAGTTCTCCATCACGGCCAACTGTAACAAAGAAGCAAGCTTTCTCTTACCACAACCACACAGTTCCCACCTTCACACCCCAGTACCCAGATAGCTTGGATCCCAATTCCCGTGCTTCAGTAGCCCACAGCATTACTAGCATGGGCCTACAGGCCTAGCCAACTAGTTTAGAGCTAGGCCTACTTGGGCTATTTAAATAAAATGACAAAAAACTCGGAGGTGGGGCTAACATACAATCCCCGTTCTCATCAGAGTAAACCCGGCAAACGATTCTCGAGACTTCTCTCGATCTTCTTGCAGTGATGCGGGTCATCAGGGTCGAGATGCTTGTATTCATGATTGTACTGACCCCATACCGTAACTGGTCAAGATAGGCTTATGTCAAGTCCCGACGAAAGCTTATATTATTATCTGAATGGATAATAGCATTACAGTTTTTCAAAATAATTATATTATAATGGAAATTACCTAAACGTCAAAATTTTGCGTTAAAATTCTCCCACGTGTTTTTCGACGGCCGGTATGCAGTGCCAGTTGAATGGTCGCACCACCTCAACGTACATGTACGTTACGTACGTTTGCCTGCGCCTCAGACGTAGACCTACGACTGTTCCATGATTCAACGTCTGAAATCATAACTATTTTATGATCTGAACTTCTACAGAACTTCAATAACCACGACATTTCTCTGTTGTACATTGAATCATATAATTTCTGTTCAACTTACATCCCTGACAAATATTACAGGCAACATAGGTACCTCGATTTGGGCAAAGAAAGTTTATAAATTTTTGGTGGGGGTGAAGTTAACAGCGATCGCATTTATTGCTGTGCATTGTGCATGTGTGGGTGTATTGTTGATTTCCTTTTCGGAATAAATTGTCATTTCTTTATTTACCATCCCAACTCAGTCTGTCAAAACGTTACTTGCTTTTTTTAAAAGCAAGTCTCGAAAATGGGGTTCCTTCAAAAAAATAAGGGATATGTGTCAAAGAAAATCCTTGTGACTTGAAAACGGTTGCGGCCCGAGCTCCATCAGTGACCCTCATTTTTCCCGGTAACGTAAACCACACGCGCTACGTTATACCGTGCACAGTCACCCTGCCCGCGGGCCGATGGTTGACAGTTTACGAGTTCAGTGTCGACTCGTGCGCAGATTTTCTCTCTCCTAAGTTGATAATCCATGAATGGATATTATTCATTGGCAAATCAACCCAGAATCGAGTACCATTAAGTACATTCAGCAGGATTCAATATTGCGCTGAACATTCTCTAAAATAGTCTGCACGTGATGCAAAAGTGGGTTGTCTGAGACAAGTTCTTGTCTCTCACTTGATCCCCGGAGTTGATAATCCTTTGAAAGATTTCATTCAAAGGCAAATCAACTCAAGATGGGAATTTCAGCAAAATTTGAGATTGCGCAGAACTTTCTTTAATTAAAACGGTCTGCACGCATGGGCGTCGCCAGGATTTTTTTCCACGGGGGGCCAAACCATTTTTTCCCATTGGGTGGGGAATTTCCTGAGGGCAAACAAGGTCTAGTGAATGAAAGGGTGGAGGGGTGATATTTGTAAAGCAAATCCGCGACTTTCATCCCATTTCCTCTCTTATTTCTATTTAGTTCGTGTTTTTCTAACCCTTTTTAAATGTTCCCCGGAATTTTTCAAGGGGGATTGGCAAGCCCCCCCCTCTTGCCTTCCCCTCGCGACACCCAAGCTGCGCGTGATGCAAATTAGACGGACTCAAACAAATTCTTGTCTTCTGCCAAAAGCCGGTTTAACCAATCAGATTGGCTATAGACGGACGGGATCCGGGATGATCGAGTCACGTCTCTTCCAGGATGACCAATCACAAACGAAATAATTAAAAGAACACGCTTGGAAATATTTTTGGGCGCGCTAATTTTCCTGAAAAGTAGTGCCTCGCATATACATCATCATCATTTTTTATCATAAAATTGGAAAACCCTTTTTTTATGACACTGGTTGCGATCATAACCACATTCCATGAATATAAAAATATTACTGAAGTGGGAGAAGATTGCACATATTTCAGTGCGGAGAAATATACCTAAGTAAGAATGTTCACACCAGCACAGTGCAGCCCCACTGCCCCACGGCGTTTCACCTCCATGTCATTGTGCCCTTGGATTTCGTGAAAAGAGTTGCGGCGTCTAGTTCACGGGGTCCATGATCCTTGTGAAGCCAACAAAATCCACTCGTACCTCCACGCTTTCCGACCAAGTGAGGGAACTTTGGCGATGTGCTGGTGAAAATGCTTTTGCCAAGAAGCATTACCCGTTTCGTCAACAATACAGGGAGAAATGTTACGGCCTCTCCAGGTGAAATTCCTCGGATTTTGAACGCTCTAGATCTAAGTTACCTTTTCTGACTTGACATACGGCGTGACCCTGCAGGCCACCAGGGCTTACATCAAGATGTACTCTGAACTAGTCTTCAGCATGAACATTATCTGTCTCACAGCACTTCAACAAAAGGCAAGAATGTGACTATAAATGCTGGCGAATTTGTGAGAAAATGAATTGAACTATTTTGACTGGAAATTTTGTTGATTCGTCTAATGTTCTGGACTAAAAATTGTGAAATGTCAAATGATCTGAAAGACGATATTGGATTCGGACGCCATACTGTAAGTAACAAGCACCGGGGTGAGTGTATTGTTTCATAAAAGAACCGAGGTATGTGGAGTTGAATTTCTCGACACACTTTTCCTGTAACTGCAGAAATGGGCAACTAAATATGAAACCTCTTTTATTTGACCCAATCTGCAAAAGTTAAACAACTGAAAATGTGGTCAAAATAAGTCGTTTGTCGTAATGCGTGGTTTTGGCGCCTTTGATTCCTTACCTGATAAGTGTGGTCGAATTTCGCCATCCCCCTTTGTCTTAAAAAGAATGTAGGCGTGACCCAATACAAAAAATCCGTCAGCCTGTCTTGTACACATAACCAATGAAATCAGTCTTTCACATGGTTGAAATTTGCATATGAACAAACCAGCACGTGCTTTTGAAAGAGCCGCTGAACAACTTTCGAGCGAGCGAGCGCTAGCGAGTGGGCGTGGTTTGTGGTCCGCTTTCAATTCATTGGATCTTGTCACTTCACAAAAACTTGAAAGCCGTGGTATGTAGCCCAGGTGCATGGTGTTCGCTGAACTTGTCAACAACCCTGGACCGGGCGGAGCTCGTGCATGGAATGGGTTTTAACCTTTGGTAGAAGTGCTCAAACGGAGCAGCAGGAATTGTGGAGTTATTTTTCCGTATACAATGCCGTTTTAATTAATATTGAAAAACGACAAATATTGTTTCAATCAAACAATGAATTTG